TATAAATATATTTACACTTATATTTACAGCTGAAATATATATATATATAATTTCACAGGGAAAAGGGAAGGGAAGAACAAAAACCAAAATAATATATATATATATTATATTATCCCGATCAGTAGCCCAAGGTCTATCAACTAAAAGAATTAGCAAAGAATATCTTCCTACTCTCCTTGGGACAATGGAGAGTCCCGTTGGAGCGACTGCCGGCAGCCTCCGCCTCCCAAGGTCGACCAGGCCTTGCTAGGCCTCACCAGGCCTCGCTAGGCCTCACTAGGCCTCACCAGGCCTCACTAGGCCTCACTGTCCAACCCAACAGACTCAACAGCAGGGAAACCTGCACCTCCAAAGGCGCCAGAAGGAAAGAGAGCAAAGGCCTTTCCTCCCTTCTTCTTATACCCCAGCTGACGTAAAAATCGTAGGGAATACCGGGTAAATCTGGGCACTTCCTTGGTTCCAAACTGGTCACCAAGGAAGGCCTAGCCCAAACCACCACAGAGGGTAAGCCCAAAAGAGTTAACTAAGAAACTTGGGCTTGCTAGCAAGTTACTTACATCCAAAATGTTCTGTTCTGTTAACTGGGCCGAAGCTTAACAGAGTGCTAAGGTACATGTAATGGGCCTAGAGGTGATAAATTAAGATTCAGTAAGCTAAAGTAGATATTTGAATAGGAGAAATAGGCCGGGAGCCAGGGCTTTCTCCAAGCTTGAGCGAGCGGGTCAAGAACAATGGAAAGGAAGGAAGGTCGGACTGAGGAAGATGAGAATTCGCCCCCTGCCCATGGGATGAAGATCAGAACCCCCCCAAAATTGGAGATAGAAAGAAGCGCCGCCCCAAGCTCCGCCTGAGCTCCACCTATACTCTGCCTGTTATCAATATGTATGAATAGGTGCTGTAATCACCTGAATATGCATTTAATCACACCTGAAAAATTGTATAAAAACTGCTGATTTTGTGTGAAGCCCTTGAGGAAGTTTTTCCAGCAATAGCTGGTTTGCTCCCAGCGCTGCTGATAAATACCTTTGCTGCCTAAAGATAAAAAGTCTCTGAGCAGTTTCTCAGACCGATTTTTCGGATTCAGGAGACACCACAGTGTCCAATGGGAAGGGATCATGGAATCACAGAACCACAGAATCACAGAATTGATGCCTGCTCAGTCGGTGCTTAGGAAAAAATCCCGGAGCTGTTAGTTGGGGTGAGTGAAGCCAGACAAGGCCCAGAAAGCAAATATTACTCTATGAAAAGCAGAGAGTTAAATTCAGAATATAAGCATAAGCAAGAGCAGAAAAGCTTAGTCTTAGAAATAGTAGAGGCAATAATTCATTAAGGTGTGCAGAACATACTGACACAGGAGAACAAGAACTCATGTACTCAGAAGAACAACCTGATAAAGAAGGAAGATGAGCCAAGATCTGGGTATCCCTGCAAAATCATCAGAAACTTTTGCCAGATGCAGCAGGGAGTCACAGCCAAAGTAAGAGAGTTCACAAAGTTTACCATGAGTATGAAAAGTGGGCAGGGGGTTCCCCGAGGCCGAAGAACAGAACAACCCCCCCAGATTCTCCCCAAATTGAAGACCACACCTCTAACTCCGCCTAAACCCCACCTGTTATGAATATTGAAAATGTATGTTGCAATTCTATGAATATGGATGTGAAAATGTTGTAATCACTTGTAGAAATTGTATACAATCCTGTCTTTTTACTAAAAAGGGGGGGGCGGTTTTTCCAGGATGACCTGACTGTTCCCCGGGCGCTCCGGAGGCCCGGGAATAAACACACTTAAAGGCTACAAACTTGGTCTCTAAGCAGTTTCTTTTCGTTCGTGCCTTTTTTGGGGGGCAAAATCTTGGCATCGTGAGATAAGGAAAGGGTTTCATTGTGCCAAGGCAAGAGATGTTACACAACGCACGCCCCGGGCTGTGCCCAAGATGTTTATAACATTTATAACAATATCTGGCCAATCCCAAGTGTGTCCATCCCCTGACTTTTGGCCTGGCCCACCTCCCAGAATTCGGTCTGGGGGCTTTTTGGGACCCTCTCTTCATCATCCTTCATCATCTTCGGGGTACAGAGAGCAGAGTCACCCAGTTCCTTGACTCTGTCCTGCGGTTTAGGCCAAGATACAAGCGTTCCCCAAACAGAACAGGGTTGCCTTGACTAAGAGACTGAACATTTTCTACTGGATATGGGAATAGGGTTGATATGGGGAGTATGGAATGGGGTGAGAGGGTTAAGGAATGTATAAACTAAGGGGTGCTAGGGGAGGAGGGAGACAGGGGTTTGTTTCTAAAATCTACTTCTATTACCTATAAAACTTGTAAGGCTTACAAAATTGGAAAAATAAAAAAACATTAGGGGGCTTAAGGCATCAGCATCCTCTGATTTTTGGCCTGGTCCACCCCCTGGTCCACCTCCCAGAATTGGGTCTGGGGGCTTTTTGGGACCCTCTCTTCATCATCCTTCATCATCTTCGGGTACAGAGAGCAGAGTCACCCAGTTCCTTGACTCTGTCCTGAGGTTTAGGCCAAGATACAAACGTTCCCCAAACAAGACAGGCTTTGCCTTGACTAAGAGACTGAACATTTTCTACTGGATATGGGAATAGGGTTGATATGGGGAGTATGGAATGGGGTGAGAGGATTAAGGAATGTATAAACTAAGGGGTGCTAGGGGAGGAGGGAGAAAAGGGGTTGCTTCTAAAATCTACTTCTATTACCTATAATACTTATAAGGTAGAAAAATAAGAAAACCATTATGGGCTTAAGGCATCAGAATCACAGAATCATAGAATCAGTTGGGTTGGAAGGGACCTCTGAGATCATCCAGTCCAACCTTGATCCAACCCCGCCGTGGTTCCCAGCCCATGGCACTGATGCCACATCCAGTCTCAGCTTAAAAACCTCCAGGGATGGAGAATTGTGGGAGCCCAACCCCAGTTTTCAGCAAAAGGAAAAACAAGGCTGGCAAACACCTCGTGATTCAAGAAGTTTTGGACCCCTGTCCTGAGACCTGCTAATGTGCAACCCGGAGATAGAAACCTGGCTCCAAGAAGAATTAAGAAAGGACTTTTGGAGATGATTGTTAAAATCATGTCTAAACCCCTGTAATCCCTCTATCCCTCGTGTAATCCCACTAGAAGAAAAATTAACTATTTGGAAACTGCAGCAAAAATTTGTGCAACTCCCCAATTAACACAGGTTGTCCCCTTCATTAACATGTCCAGCCCCAGATGCCTTTAAATTGTGTTCTCGTGTTCAATAAAATATTCCAGTTTCCCCAGACTGGAATCGTGTTCAGGTTTTGTTTTTCAGACCACCACTGAGAATCCACCCCTTCCCTGGGCAGCCCATTCCAATGGCTGAGCACCCTCTCTGGAAAGAAATTCTTCCTGATCTCCAACCTAAACCTCCCCTGGCACAGCTGAAGACCCTGAGCCCTCTTGTCCTGCTGAGAGTTGCCTGGGAAAAGAGACCAACCCCCCCCTGGCTCCCCCCTCCTGTCAGGGAGTTGCAGAGAGTGAGGAGGTCTCCCCTGAACCTCCTCTTCTCCAGGCTGAACAGCCCCAGCTCCCTCAGCCTCTCCTCATGGGAATTGTGCTCCAGTCCCTTCCCCAGCCTCGTTGCTCTCCTCTGGACCTGCTCCAGGACCTCAATGTCCTTCCTGAGCTGAGGGCCCAGAGCTGGACACAGCACTCCAGGGGTGGCCTCACCAGCGCTGAGTCCAGGGCAGGAATCACTTCCTTGGCCCTGTTGGCCACACTGTTCCACCAGCCCGAGGCACAGTGGGCAGGGAATCCCTCCCAGGGCTGGGAATGACCCCAAAGCTCATCTCCTTCCACCAACCTTCAACACCTTCCCCTAGCCCAGGTGGCCCCATCCAACCTGGCCTTGGACACTTCCAGGGATCCAGGGGCAGCCACAGCTTCTCTGGGAATTCCATCCCAGCCCCTCACCGCCCTCACAGCCAAGAATTCCTTCCCAATATCCCACTCGAATTTCCTTTTTTCCCTGTATCCTGTCCCTCCATCCCTTGTCCCCAGTCCCTCTCCAGCTCTCCTGGAGCCCCTTCAGGCCCTGCAAGGGGCTCTCAGCTCTCCCTGGAGCCTTCTCTTCTCCAGGGGAACCCTCCCAGCTCTCCCAGCCTGGCTCCAGAGCAGAGGGGCTCCAGAATCCTGGAATGGCTTTGGTTGAAAGGGATCTTAAATCCCATTGATTCCACCCCCTGCCATGAGCAGGGACACCTTCCCCTATCCCAGGTTGCTCCAAGCCCTGCCCAACCCAGCCTTGGACACTTCCAGGGATCCAGGGGCAGCCACAGTTTCTCTGGGCAACCTGGGCCAGGGCCTCCCCACCCTCCCAGCCAGGAATTCCTTCCCCATATCCCATCTCTCCCTGCCCTCTGGCACTGGGAAGCCATTCCCTGTGTGCTGTCCCTCCCTGCCTTGTCCCCAGTCCCTCTCCAGCTCTCCTGGAGCCCCTTTAGGCCCTGC